CGCACCATTGGGTTGGACACAAGAAAAAGGAGGAAGACACGGGAAAGAAACAAGAAAATTGGAGAAGGAAGAAACATCAATAGGTTGTAATTTAACGTTGTTTACTCTCTTCTTAATTGGGAGTAAAGATAAATTTACCAACAAGTATACATGGGATGGGATTAGGAAGTTGTTGGGGCCATGACATTGAGCCAGCTTTTGAGGTCAATAGCTGCTCATCATGACCCGAAGCATGCAATTTACAGTTTCATTTTCCAGATTTTGTTGGTGCCCTAGCATTATTACTGATACTACATGTTTGGAAATTCCAAGTAATCCAGCCAATAACATTCTCAGCACAATTAAAAGCAAAAGGGATAAGGATTGGTGGGTTCTTAGATTGTCAATATGTATCGCAAAGTTAAAAATAAGTTCATATTTCATCCATGAATCAGATATTTGATAGTTTAGCATAATAAAACACACTCTGGCGAATTCTTATCACCTTTCTCATGTGCATGCACGTATCCAAGAGCGGTTAAAAATCATGAAGTCTAAACCATGTATGCCAAGAGGAAAAGATTCTAAATTGTCCCAAACTAGTATATTAGTAACTACATTCAAAGGTGTAAAATATGGACAGCAAGGGATAATTTGGGACATCTCTAACCATAAAAATTTCCATGTAATGCAATTAGATGACTACCTTATTAGACCAAATGCAATTTTAAATGACATAAGGTTACAGATGAGGTCCACTAAATTGGAAATTGACAGTACACATATGACACATATTGTGGTTCACTAAGAAAAATCCAGAAACATGATTTTTTACCCAAAAATTAGAGTGAATTTCTATCTAGAAAGGCCAATATATACCCCCTCCTCCCCTCCTTAAATCACACAAAATACAATACCATTTCTTTCACTCTCTCCACTCCTTTGATCTGGTGATTAGGTTCTAATCATCATCAGAGATTTTTTGTTTAGGGTTTAGCCATGGCGAGGAAGAGCAAGGGAAGGCAAAAGGTGGAGATGGTCAAGATGGCCAATGAGAGCAATCTCCAAGTGACCTTCTCGAAGCGAAGGTCTGGCCTTTTCAAGAAGGCCAGTGAACTTTGCACTCTCTGTGGTGCTGAGGTGGGCATCATCGTCTTCTCGCCTGGCAGAAAGGTCTTTTCCTTTGGCCACCCGAGTGTAGAGGCGGTCGTGGACCGATTCCTCTCCCGAAACCCATCTAATCACCACCTTCACCCAACCTCTGGCACTATGCAGCTCATTGAGGCTCACCGCAATGCTACTGTGCGCGAGCTCAATACCGAACTGACCCAGGTCATGAACCAACTGGAGGCGGAGAAGAAGCGCTGCGATCAGCTGAACCAGATGAAGAGGGTGAGCCAGGCTCAGTGCTGGTGGGAGGGTCCGGTGGATGAGATGGAGATGCCACAGTTGGACCAGCTGAAGAATTCCCTTGAGGATCTGAAGAAGAACGTGTCGAAACAGGCTGATAGGGTTTTGATCCTGAACACCACAAACCCTAGCAGCCAGTATTTTGTGGGAAGCTCAAGTCACCAGCCTGTGATTCCAAATGTTGGGTTCAACGGGAATCATCATGTTATGCCTCCCCATCCTCTTCCCCATCCCCATGGATGGAACCACCCAGCTTATGGACGCTTTTTCTGAAGGCGTGATGATTATGTTGCTCTTTAGGCACTGCGATACAGACTATTTCTCTCTGCACTGTGTGTTATTTATTGTGTGCTGCTTGTTATTGTGTTTATTTTCTGTTGTTTGTTTGGTATATGGGTATGACCCATTTGTGTTGTTTTCGTTTGTTTGTTTGGTATATGGGTATGACCCATATGTGTTGTGTTCGTTTGTTTGGTTCATAATTTCATAGATGAACTATAAGAATTTTTACTGAGAGTGATGTTGTAAAATAAGGCCGTTTTGGTGGTCACAAATAAAATTGTTATATTGATTTGAATATTTCTGGTGGACTCAATTTGATCATGCGATATGCATATTCAGTTTAACATTCTGTCTGTATTCAAATCTGCAGATTTTGCCCTAATTTGGTCATAGGCCAAATTGTGGTTTTTTATTAAATTTATCAAATAAAACCTGATATGATAGAGTTTGATGGGATATTTCTATATGAACTAAGAAAAGTTTGATGGGATATTTCTATATGAACTAAGAAAAGTACAGTATCCATTGATATGAGTTAAACAGGTAAGTAGTCAGAATTGGAATTTTAGCCATAATAGTGCTCGATCTTACAATTTTAGCTAGTTGCACACGGAGATAGATTGTCGCTCAAGTTAGGGTTTCTTACTCCTATATAAAGAAGCCTATGCGCATTAACGAAAGACTATATATGTATACCAATCATATCAAGCCTGTATTGGTACTTTTGCGTTCTTGCCCATTTTCCTTCTGTAGTTTTGATTTTCGTGACTTGAAGGATTGCTCTGCTAGACTTTGCTCTAATATATATACATAGATTTCTTTTCATCAGTTTTTTTCTTTGTAATCGCTTTTCTTATACTCATTCGACTAGTTTTAAAGCAATCCAATTGTTTTTCGCATGTTTGATTAAGCTCTCCCCAAATAGCTTTTACATTCAAGACCTAGAAAGAAGCAAAATAGAGCTTTCAGTAGATGTACCAAGAGTACCTATATCTATTCCAGTTAAAAATGCAATCGTTTGATTGAAAGTAAAAAAAATGCAAAGAACTCATATAATTTTGTCTACTAAGAGTACCTAGTACCTGTTCCAGTTGCCAGGAAATTTGGGGTAAGCACACTCTCTCAGAGTGTGCAACTAATTATATCGGGTTCAATATTCTTTGGAGGAATAATGCTTTACAAGTCAACCAATATATATAAGTTCCAAAATCTTGGATACCGAATGATTGACAAATATTTCAATTATTTGTGTACATTCATCACATTCTTCACATCATTAATTTCTCACAAATGAAATATTGATATATCATCTATTGGATTATCTATGATGTATTATGTAAGAAAATAATCTGACATGTTATGTTATCAAATGATGGATGTAAAGAGTTAACAAGTAGAGACTTGTTTCAATGTGTGACACAAATTAGTCTCGAAAATATGCCATATATAATGTACAAAGGGAACATTACGTATTCTTTTGGAGTAGAACTGGGATGAGGTCGGGCTAGATTGCCGGATTATGATATAGTACATCCCAAGTATAATCTGTTGCTAGAAAGTTTGAAGTTTGAACTGAATTTGGCCCATTGATAGGAAGAACTTTTTCAATGCATGATCTGAATTACAGTCTTACAATATAATATTTCGCATGAAAATATTACCTATTTTGCATGAGAATTACTCGTTATATATGAATGTTAGCATAACACGATTGGGTTAAGTTGCATGACTGTAATATTATAAGCAATTTTTTTTCTTTTCCAAACATTCACTTGTTATGAGATCAAATTGTTAATATAGAGTATTGATAGTCTTGTATGAGTCGTATTCATAATCCAGAAATATGATGCTAGATATCTCTCGATCTATGATTGAACAGTGTGTGGCTGAATTTACCTTTCAACCCTACCCTAATATCTACATAGGGAGAGATTTTCTTTTGCAACTAAGTTTTAGTCTAAGTGGTGTCACGGTTTAATAAACACTAACTAGATGTGCTCAAAAAGTTCACTTTTTATCTGATATGGACAATTGTTACGTGGTTAAATTGTGACATGAAAGGATGTCTCCTATATAGAGCAACAAACTATATATGTGTGGGTAGATTTGCCCTCCCATATCCCTACCCTAATACCTACTTTGGGCACAAATTCTCGGTATTTGCTCCATCTTGTAAATTGGGCAGGTTTTCCTTTTCCATATATCTACCATGATACCTACTTAGAGGCAGGCCGGCCCTGGGAATTTAGGGGCTATGTGCAAGATTTAGATGGGGGTCTTTCATTTTTTAATATTGTATTTTCTTTGTTATTTTATTTTTCAATTTGTATCTATAAAATTTAAATACTACAAATTAGAGTATCACTTTGAGTGGACAAGAGTGTTTCCTGTATTGAAAGGTCTTCAGTTCGAAATATGTTGCATGATTTTTTGTGTAAAACTTATTAAGTTTTTAAGTTAATAAATTTGCAAAACTTAAAAATAGTAAAATAGTTCTACAAGGACTCAAACCTGGGCCATGTACAAGGGGATTGAAGGCCTACACCACTAGCGCTTGTGTGATGATTATTATTATCTTGCACATTTAAGTATATAATAGGTATCTATTTACATGTAAAGAAACTTTGGGGCCCTTCTGAATCGGGTGCCTTGTGCGGTAACACCTGTTGCACACCCTTAGGGCCGGCTCTGCTTAGAGGGCATATTTTACTTGTCAATATCCCGTATAATAAATTGGATATCGATCGCTACTCTGCTCATCTTATTTGTTTAGTTCTTTGAGTTTTCTGGAAGTAAAGCTGGAAAATGAAGAGAGCTATTATTTTCACTTCGAGTCATATAGCACTTCTTAAAAATCAGTTTTATCGGGTGACGTTTTGCGGTTACCCTAATAGAAAATGTTATTTTCATTTTGTAAATGTAAATGATTATTTATTATTTACTCATGGATGTGCTTCACGCTGACTTACCAAAAGTCATATAGTTTTCTATATTATGTCAATGATTTTTTTAATATATGTCAATGAGCAATAGGTTATCATCAGTTTCATAGTAACTGTGCATTAAGTGAGTAGAGATTCATAACTTCCAAAAAGATATTGAATTAATAATTTTACGGTACTAATGTTAATATTGCATTAAGACCTCATTGGACAATACAATAATACGCCCAACATAAGTGCCATTTAATAGAAATAATGAGTAAATAACCCTATAAATACATGTCTTGTCCCTCCCCCCCCCTCACACGTCTTTGCACAAGAAAACCAAGCAAACATTAGGTAATCATCATCTAATTATCTTCTTGACTCTTTTATCATCCTCCAGATATGGTGATGAAGATCAAGAAACCTAGCCAAGGTCGCCAAAAGATTGCCATTGCCAAAATACCAAAGAGAAATAATTTACAAGTCACATTCTCAAAACGTCGTTCAGGGCTCTTCAAGAAGGCCAGTGAACTATGCACACTTTGTGGGGTTGAGATTGCAATCATAGTCTTCTCTCCTGCAAACAAGCCGTTCTCCTTTGGCCACCCAGAGGTTGATTCCATCGTCGACCGCTTCGTTGCTCGAAACCCTTACCCTAATTTCCAAGCAGGGTCCACAGGTTCTACTCAACAGCTTGTTGAGGTTCACAGGAATGCTAGTGTCCATGAGCTTAACATGCAGCTGACCCAGGTTGTGAACCAGTTGGAGGCTGAGAAAAAATGTGGAGAAGCACTTGATAAAATAAGCAAAGCTAGTGAAAAGCAGTGTTGGTGGGAAAGGTCTGTGGAGGAACTAGGGTTTCATGAGCTTCAGATATTGAAGGCTTCATTGGAGGAGCTCAAGAAAAATATGACTAAACAAGCCAATGGGATTTTGATGGAGTCTAGCGCTGCTGCTGTTGCTAATTGTTCTTCATCATCATCACCATTTTTCATGATGAACATTAATGGTGTTGTTCAAGGTGACGATCTTCGTTGTTTCGAAAGCAAAATTAAACCGACAAATCAACTTGGATCTGCATATAGTTTCGGTTATGCTGGGCATAGTCTTTTCTGAGTTTTTGATGTTGTTTAATTTCTTTTGAAGGGAGTTACATGCAAGCTAGCTAGCACCTCGCTACAAATTATTATTGTCATTATATTAATTACTTGTTCTTCTCTCTTTCAGTTATGGTTTGATTGTTTTTTATTTTATTTTAATTTATTATGTCTAGAGGAGGATTTGAACTATTTACAATAATTTAGTGAATACGGAATTTCGAATCCGGAATGCATGAATGGAACCCAACATGCAGTTATGGTTTGTAATTGTAAATGTTCAATATTATATTAATGGATTTTCTCTTATCATGGACATTGTTTATCTAAATATTGATTGTCGTTGAAGCCCTTAATTAATGAAAAAGAAACAAGTTTGTTACAGTTTAGTAAGCGCATGATCAATGTAACAATTCTTCATCTGGGGATGGCGCAAATACTTCTTCGACTAGTATTGGAGGGGAAAAGCTATGGAAGAAATTATGGAATGCCTGTGTTCCCGGGAAGGTAAAATTTGTGCATGGTGTGCATGTTTGGACTCTCATCCCACAATATCGAATCTCGCAAAGAGGAAAGTTGTTGTGGAAGATTCATGGGTTTTGTGGTTCACATGGTGAGTCGACAGAACATGTACTAAGGGATTGTAGTATGGTGAAGGCGGTCTGGTTTGGTAGTCTGGGACTAAGGGTTGATGGTGGCAACACACAGCACCTAATGCAATGGTTATTACAAATTGCTATGCAATTTCTATCCTCGGATTTTGAACTATATGCTTGGTGACTTGATGGACACTGTGGAAGAATAGAAATGATGCTTTATGGAATGGTAATTTCTTGCCGCCGCAGGAGGTGGTATTTCGAGCTGAGGGTTGGCTGCATGAGTTCTAAAAATAGCATAAATCTGCTGAGGAAGACAAATCGTGTCTCACAAAAGTGGAGAAAACTTGATGTGGATTCAACAAGGACTACAGGGTGGTTTTGGTGTAGTTCTTTGGGACCTTGATGAGTCAATTTCATATTATAGATTTTACCCTATTTTTAGTATGATTTGGTAATTATTTTGGTAAACTCCGCCTATGTAAGTTTATCTTACATTGCCGGTCCCAAGCCCGGGTAAAGGAGGAGGGGGAGGGCGTCAGGTAGTCGACAGCCGGCACTCCACAGTTACGTCGAATCCTTATGAAAATGAATTCAGAACGAAATCGCGCTAAAGCTAGGGCGTCACCCGTAAGTGGCGCGCTGTGTGGCCCAATTACAGTGATAAGTGAGCAAGGGTCGCTGTATCTCCATAGGCACCCGGATGCAGTGTTAAATGAGCAAGGGGGCCATAGAAACTTCTTTTCGAACGACTCCACTCAAAGTTGTTTGGGAGCATATGCACCTATCAACTTTACACGGGACACACAAAAGAAGTACTTTGATTCCATTGGACGGGGGAGGGTGAAGAAGCTAGGACAGAAGGGTAGAGTTCAGGAGAGTAGAATGCGTTTAGGAACGTGGAATATAGGAACCTTAACGGGAAAATCTATGGAAGTAGTGGAAGTTATGGTGAGGAGAAGGATAAATATATTATGTGCCTACAAGAAACTAAGTGGGTTCGTCTTAAGGCAAAGGATCTAGAAAACTCAGGGTTTAAACTTTGGTACTCGGGCACAAATAGAACGAGAAACGGTGTTGGCATCATCGTGGACAAGACCTTGACACAAGATGTTGTAGATGTCAAGAGGGTAGGAGATAGAATCATGGCAATCAAGATTGTAATAGGACAAGAACTTATCAATGTGATTAGTGTGTACGCACCTCAAGTAGGGTTGGATATGAGTTCGAAGGAGAAATTTTGGGAAGACCTTGGAGACTTGGTGCAAGGAATTGCTCAGACGGAGAAGTTATTTATAGGAGGAGATTTAAATGGACACGTGGGCAGGGAGACAGGCAACTATGGAGGTTTTCATGGTGGCCATGGTTTTGGGGAGAGAAACGAGGATGGGGAAGCTATCTTGGATTTTGCAATGGCATATGATCTCTTCTTAGCCAACACCTTCTTTAAGAAGAGAGAAGAACATGTGATCACCTACAAGAGTGGGTCGTAAAAAACACAAATAGATTTTCTTCTAATGAGGAAAGGGGATCGTATAACTTGTAAGGATTGCAAAGTTATACCAGGAGAGAGCGTGGCTAATCAACATCGCTTGTTGGTGATGGATGTACATATCAAAAGAGTGAGAAAAAAGAACAAGACTTGGAAGTGCCCAAGGACTAGATGGTGGAATCTAAAAGAAGAAAAACAAGTCATTTTCAAAGAGAAAGTAATCACCCAGTGTGTGTGGGATAGAGAGGGGGAAGCTAGCCAAATGTGGGATTCCATGGCTAGTTGTATCCGAAAAGTAGCAAAAGAGGTATTAGGAGAGTCCAAGGGCTTTGCCACACACCAAAAGGAATCTTGGTGGTGGAATGAGGAGGTACAAACAAAGGTGAAGGCTAAGAAGGAATGTTGTAAAGCCTTATACAAGGATATGACCGATGAAAATGGTGAAAGGTATAGAAAAGCGAAGCAAGAGGCGAAGAAAGCTGTGAGAGAAGCTAAGTTAGTGGCTTATGACGATATGTATAAGCGACTAGATACCAAAGAAGGAGAGTTGGATATCTATAAACTAGCTAGAGCAAGGGAAAAGAAGACAAGGGACCTAAACTAAGTGAGGTGCATCAAGGATGAGGATGGAAAGGTTCTTGCTACAGAGAACGCGGTTAAAGATAGATGGATAGGTTATTTTCATAATCTTTTCAATGAAGGACATGAAAGGAGTGCTTCTTTAGGGGAGTTGAGTAACTCAGAAGAATGTAGAAACTACTATTTTTATCGTCAAATCCGGAAGGCGAAGTGGTTGTAGCTTTGAAGAAGATGAAGCATAGAAAAGCAGTAGGCCCAGACGATATACCAATCGAAGTGTGGAAAGTTTTGGGAGAGACAGGTATAACATGGCTCACTGACCTTTTCAATAGGATTTTGAAAATGAAGAAGATGCCAAATGAGTGGCGAACGAGCACTTTGGTGCCTATCTACAAGAATAAGGGCGACGTACAAAATTGCATGAACTATAGGGGTATTAAGCTAATGAGTCATACAATGAAGCTCTGGGGGAGAGAGTCATTGAGCATAGATTGAGGCAAGAGACACGGGTTTTCGGACAACCAATTCGGGTTCATGCCAGGGCGCTCAACCATGGAGGCAATCTATCTCTTACGAAGATTGATGGAAAGATATAGAGATGGGAAAAAGGATTTACACATGGTCTTTATAGTTTGGAAAAAGCGTATGATAGGGTCCCAAGAGACATTCTTTGGAGGATTTTAGAGAAGAAAGGAGTACGAGTAGCATATATCCAAGCTATAAAGGATATGTATGAAGGAGCAAAGACTGCCGTAAGAACTCATGAAGGACAAACCGAAAGCTTTCCCATAACTGTAGGATTACATCAAGGCTCATCCTTAAGTCCTTACCTTTTTGCGTTGGTAATGGATGAGTTAACAGGACATATTCAAGATGATATTCCTTGGTGTATGCTTTTCGCAGACGATATATAGTGTTGATAGATGAAACTCAGGAAGGGGTAAATGCAAAGCTTAACCTTTGGAGAGAAGTGTTTGGAATCTAAAGGTCTTCGCCTAAGCCGATCAAAGACAGAATATATGGAGTGCAAGTTCAGTGCAAATGGAAGCCAAAACGAGTTAGGGGTGAGGATCGGAGATCAAGAAATACCAAAGAGCGCGATCGTTTTCGTTACCTAGGATCTATCTTGCAAAAGAAACGGAGAATTAGATGGAGATCTCAACCATAGAATACAAGCTGGATGGATGAAGTGGAAGAGTGCATCCGGCGTGTTGTGTGACCGCCGTATGCCACTGAAGCTCAAGGGAAAATTTTAGGACTAGGACGGCAATAAAGGCCGGCGATGCTGTATGGCACAGAATGATGTTGGGCGGTGAAGCATCAACACGTACACAAAATGGGTGTAGCGGAGATGAGGATGCTTCGTTGGATGTGTGGGCACACAAGAAAGGATAAGATTAGGAATGAGGATATCCAGGGTAAAGTAGGAGTAGCCGAAATTGAAGGAAAGATGAGAGAAAATCGGTTACGGTGGTGGTTTGGACATGTGCAAAGAAGGCCTACTGACGCTCCGATTAGAAGATGCGACTATGGCACAGATGTTCAGGGCCGAAGGGGGGGTAGGAAGACCTAGGAAAACTTTGGAAGAGACTCTAAGAAAAGACTTAGAGTACTTGGATCGGAGGACATGACACAAGGACCGAGAGCACAATGGTGTTCAAAGATTCATATAGCCGATCCTACTCAGTGACTTGGATTTTCCAAGTCTCCAACCGAGAAGTTTTTCCTCACTCGGGAAATTAAGGGAATACTACCTCAACCTACACATGCTCCTACTCACAAAGCTTCAACATACAAGCTTCAACAAAAGAAAATTCAGAGAACTTAGCGAAGAAGGCTTTGGTGTATTTAACACAATACGTTGAAATGAAGGAAAGCTATTTATTGATATCCCCGATAAGTCACAAATATGTACATATACATGAGTCAAAATAAACAAACAAGAGGGAGCCTTCACAAAGGTTGCTTAGGAGAAGTCTCAGCAGTCGGTAGAGCCCCAGAAAGAGCAGGCACTGGAGGGGGATCATTTGGAGCCTCAGTACTTGACAGAACCCTAGAAGGAGGAGGCAGCAGAGGTTGATCATTTGGAGCTTCATTACGCGGTACAGCCCCAGAAGACGAAGTCAATAAATGCCTTTGGAACAAACCCACAAATCTCTGATGATCAAGTAAAACCTGACCATCAGATTCCTTCATCTGGTCAAGCTTCCTCTTCATGTTTGTAGCATAGTTATGTGCGAGCTGGTGCAACTGTTTATTCTCATACTTGAGCCCTCTAATCTCCTGTTTGAGACTCATCACTTCAGCCGCCAATGATTCAACTTGGCGGGTTCGAGCAAATAGGCGTTGGGC